TCAGTGTGAACATTCGGACAGTTAAAAACACTTTGTCCAGAAAAGAAAGCTCTGTCAGAACACAAGAAAATTAAATAAAAAGCTCAACTGTAGTACCTTGTCTGTCGTTTTAATGAAACATGCATTGAAAAGGAAGGATTATAAATATACTAATATATATATATATTACTTTTTCCCAACCTGGAGAAATGTAGAAAATATATATCAATCTGTTCTTTGGTTGCATCGGTAGAGAAAAAAAAAAAAAAAAAAAAACGATTTTTTTTGGGCGGGGGGGTTCATTCCTTTGTTTGTGGGGTGGGTCGAGTGAGAAAAAAAATGCAACTTTAATAAGTACATCTAGAATAAATATCCCTCCTACTCCGGTCTAAGCTTACAACCATACTACGATGAAACACGGGTTCTCGTGAGATCAACAATGTTAGTGATTTTCTAAGCGTAACTTACATGTGACACAAGCTCGAAACTATGAGGCACATCAGTGAAGTTAAGAAACGTCTAACCTAATCAGTACCTAGATAGGTGACCGCTGGGGAATACCAGGTGCTGTAGGTTTGGAAGTGCGGGTGGTGTAACAGATAACGGCTCGAAATTGGAAATCGGAGATCCGATTTCAAACATCAGTCGGCTTCGATATGTTATGTTAACATACGCGCAAATATCCTTGGAAAAGTTATGAATCTATCTCTTCTCTCCGCCAAGCTATGGGTTAATTAGTAGCACTTGTATTAATAAATGATTATCTCCAGGAGGATTGATCTGGAGACGAGTTTTAAAAAATAGCAACTTCGAGAAGAGCGTCTGGTATAAAGATCTCTCCTAGCCTGGTGTAAGCTTACAGCCATATCACGTTGAAACACTAATTCCTTCTTTCAAAACTTCGATTGTTTTCTACTAATGGATTAAAAAAAAACCCTGATAATCTTTTTGCGAACAATAGAAATTTTCATGCTATGAATCCTTTTGCTGAGTATGTTCTTTGATTGATTGATTTGTTTTACGGCTTATCAACCTGATTGGATTGAGGAATCGGAAAGCCGAGTTCGAATTTCAGTCGAATCCATTACATTAACTTACGTGCTAATATCCTTGAGAAAGGAATGAATCCTCTTCTTCTCCCTCCAGTTATGGGTAAATAGCAGGACAGACTTGGTTCTATAGCCTTGGATGGCAACTGGTCTAGGAGAAGGACAACTCTGAATTCAAAACCTGCGGAGTGTCATTTGGGGACCTTGTGGCACGTAGTGCACCAGGTCTCTGTATTTGGCCCTTCAAAAAGTGTGGATGGTCCTGCATGAAACCTTCACCACTATAATCAAATCTCATGTGCTGTTGTCGGGCTGTCGGTTTCCTAGGAAGTGATCTGCTTGACCCTCATACGTCGAATTCGACGGGAGAGTCGAGTATCTCCAGTTAAAAATACTTACATTATTTAAAATATTTAATTAACATGCAAAAGGTTGATAAGCCGTAAAAACAAATGAATCAATCAAAGAACATACTCCGATCAACAAAAAAATTCATAGCATGAAAATTTTTATTGTTCGCAAAAAGAGTATCAGAGTTTTTTTTTGTTTGTTTTTTTAATCCATCAGTAGAAAAAAATCGAAGTTTTAAAAGAAGGAATTAGTGATTCAACGTGGTATGGCCGTAAGCTTACATCAGGCTAGACGAGATCTTTATACCAGA